ATATCAGAGAGGGAGCATATCAGAGAGGGGGCATATTAGAGAGGGGGCACAATAGAGAGCGGGGCTTATTAGAGAGCGGGGCTTATTAGAGAGGGAGCATATCAGAGAGGGGGCATATTAGAGAGGGGGCACATTAGAGAGGGGGCACATTAGAGAGTGGGGATTATTAGAAAGGGGCTTATTAGAAAGGTGAGCATATTAGAGGGAAGCTTATCTAAGGGGACTTTTATAAGATGGCCGGGGGGGGACTTGATGGAGGATTTACAGCACTAGCTACATAATTATATAGACATACACTAGCATCAGTGCCAGCATTCTTTCTGTCATCAGTTCTCACAACAAGCTTGTACACAACTCCTGAAGCTCTTCTTTTCCTTCCTTTTTGTGCCGACTGCAGAATAAGAAAATAAAGAACTGAAGAGATGGTTTGGAAAACACAATTTCTCTATGACAATTAATAAAATCTTTTGGTATTTGACAAAGTAAGATATATTAGGTAACAAGGGTGGAAATTGTCTGGTTAACGGAAAAAGATGCACACTCTCCCTGACAATGTTCTATATTAATTAGTAAATTCCTCAATGGAATGATGGGATGTTATTTGGAGTGGAGGGCTTAATTGAGGATTTAAGATGGTTTAACAAATATTTACCTTGAATAGTTTAGTTTGTGAAGCAGAAGATTCAAACCTCCTCGCGTAGTAACGAGTAAGATGTGGGTCGTTAAGTGGATTGTATGGTTCGTTAAGATCTGAACGTCCTCCGGTGGCTTGAGCTCTTGTTGGTGAGCCGAGAGTTTTACGGCTTGCATAAGGCGCTGCGCTACTGACGCGAGATTCTTGAGAGACGTGGTTTAGTCTGACATTGTATTTCTTGAGAAAACGAGCTGGTAATGCATTAGGATTCTGCCATATTGGTTGTGTTGGAGCTGGAAAATAAACAATCAAACAATTCCCTTTTGGGCCAGTTGATATTGTACTAATTATTTTAAAGTAATTTATATTGGCACCAATAAATAAATAAAAAAATCATTCATTATTTACACAGAGTATGGTTGTTCAATTTACACACGCTACAACAACACATGCATGTGCTCAACTATTATGATATGACTATGTGGAAACTGAGAAAAAAGCGCGGGAGAGTAATGTCCCAGTCAAACAAGACAAGCATCAGCGAGGTTTGACTGGATGTTACTCAAGCCTGAAAATAAGCGGACACAGATATACTGACCAATAAGTCGAACACAGATATACTGTCCAATATGAAAAAGGCAAATGTCCACGAAGATGCTTTTCTCACCGGACAGTATGTCTGGTACAGTGATACTGCATGCTATAATTATATTAATGAAAAGTGAAAGATACATTAAATATTGTGAATATATCTGTTTTAAAAAGTAAACAATAACTAGCTATACATATTTTATTATAATATATATATATTATTATAATACTACAATATTTTTTATGTCTGTTACTAAGTGATTAGTGTCAGCTAGGCTTGATGTCACTGCATGGCTAGCCAAAACTCTCATCAAAATTTGAACCATGCAGTCAATGTTGATGTGAATGCATGAGAGTCAACAAGAGTTGATGATGAAATGCCGGCAAGAGTTGCAACTCTCATCTTTGTTTGACTAGGGCTTAAGTTCTGAGTTTTCAAGTTTGGTGAAGCTAAAATTGTATTCTGGCTTCCATACCTGACAATGGCCGTGGTTTCTTCACAGGAGGATCTGCTGAAAATGATTTTGATCTCGCAACTAATGCTGGATCTTGTAGCAACGTTTTCACTCCCAAAGAACTTTGCATTCTTATTCAACCTTCTTATTCAAGAAATAGCCTTGTGCTTGACTGCCTGGAATTGCAACAAAATTTACAAAATTGACGTGTTTTGTTAAATATTAGCACCATAAAGCACAGCATCACTTGAGCATGAAAATTAAGACTACTACATATGATGAAAATAATTATTTTCTAGTTGTAATACCAACTCAACTTCTGCTGGACATTAGAGGTTTCTGATGTTTGCGTGACATGGATATTAAATAATATGGCTACATTTGTCACAATAATTACTAAATTGTTAACACATAAATGCTCTTCAAATTTTCCCAACAGACGTTAATGTCTTCAATTATTTCACTACACTAACACACACTTGACTAAAAAATCTTTAAAGACACAAAACAAACAAATCAGATTTAGAGTTGCATTTTAGACATATTATGTGACAAATATCATATGTAGTTCAAATAATTATCCGCTACAAACTCGCCAAATTAATGAAAGAAATTTAAGCTTTACATAAACTTACCGTGGTTTATTAAGCCACTTTTTCACATTTTTTAAAATGCAGTTTCATGTCCAGCAATACTTGAACTATTGTACTCAAAAAAGATCAACGAAAAGATATTTAATTTTACCATTTTCAAAATATAGCGTCTCCGTCGTTCAGGCAACCTGAATAACATTTGTCTCCACGCGGGACTCCACGCGAGAACTTACTACGCATCCGTCGTTTGCATCTACCCATGAACTTGTCAGGTCAATTTTCATAGTCACAATAATCCCAGATCTGAAGCCCGGATGAAACAAGAATGAGAGCGCATGAGAGTTGAGAGTGACACGACCTTAGTTAGCTCTTCTTAATGCTTTCCCAATACTATCATACCTAACAATCCTTCCCCTAAACCTAATCCTATTTCCACCCCTAATCCTCACTACAATCCTAATCCTTAACCAACTCTAACCTAGCCTGCGAACAGGCTCAAATTCTTATCTTTTTACCTTTTTGCAAATTCTCTAGTCTCTTGAATATTCACAACCGAGTTCTGTTCTGCCTCACTTCCTGTCTGTGTAATAAAATCAGACAAGCAGAAAAATAATTTTAATTATTACATTTATTATTACGAAGTTTACATCATAATATTTCTAAGCTCTGGCAAGCTAGAAGAAAACACACTATCCCGGAAACATTATTTCATAATTCCAGAGGAAACATAAAACAAAACAAGAGAACTTTGAAATAATGTTTCCGTGATGTTTCCCAGCTTATCCAAGGGTTAGATAGCACGGTTAAATATGTTCAATAGCGCGGTTAATCACCCAATAATCAGCAGATAATATACAGTATGCTGCAAATGAAGTCATTGAACTCAAAAGACCTGGAACTCTCTTCATAGGAACTGCCTTTTTCTTTCTCTAACGTGGAGATCTACGATAAGCTATGGTGGTTCGTGTCTGCCTAAACACTCTCAAACGCTCCGACATTTCGAGGAAACACCCTCAAGAGAAGCAAGAATCGTTGTAAGGTTTGGTTAACGTGTGCGTTCACACGTTGCGATTCAGATTCACTTTAATGATATTGTACCAAACGTCATCTGACGACAGCAACAACTGATAATATTCATCAACAACATTCAGGAAAACCTAAAATCGGCCCGACAAATCGCAGCGTGTGACCACAGAATAAGAAGGTACAGCATAAGTGTAACTCAAGCAAGTATTTGTCCGCGTTTTTACAAGCGATTCGTCATCAATCACGCCATCCTGGCTAGTACAACCGGCACTTTGTACCTACCAAAACCTGATAAAAACTTCCGATTGTACTAGCCAGGATGGCGTGAGCGAGTTAAAATTTTCGTGGACGTAAAACAATAAAGGAACCGACTCAAGTTACACTTCTGCTGTACCTTCCTATTCTGTGGTGTGACGGTATCCTTCCGAACTTCCCGCCGAAGAGCCGTCCCTCGAAATATCCATTTAGTGAGCACTTGAATGAACCATAGCAGTTTCTATCCCAGGTCATTTGAGTTCAATGGCAATGTTATTAACGGTACCATATCCAGAGGAAGGCCAACGTCAAGAGCAACAATATTGAACCAATCATTGTGATAATCTTCTCAGAGGTTGTCTGATGAAGAATATCTTCTTCCACGACCAGCTCTGACTCAATCTGGTGATCAGACATCTTTACATTCGCCACGCCATTATGACTCATCTCATCTGAAAGAAAAATCGAGGCCGATAAATAAACTACAACAAAACGAACTTGTTTTAAACCCTTGAGTAGGGGCCGACCAAGCATTGAATCGGGTCTCCCAGGAATGATCATTGGCCTACAACGCAGTTACATACACTACACTACATCTATACAGAACAACTTCCTGATCTTTTTGTCTTTCTGAATTTGATAAATTTGACTAAACACCACATACAGTCATCAGAGGCAACATTCACTTCTGGCTTAACATTCCTTGCTTGCTTTTTCTCTCTGATAGTGGCCCAGGTCAGACCTGCCAGCTCTTCCTTGGGGATAGGCGCGGTTAGAAGACTGAGTACGATAATCACGACAGCTGTAGCAACAAAAAGTATCACTCCTACAAGAAAAGATAATCTGAGTTAAGTTTTGACCATGACAAGCTATAGAAAACACTCTTTCCTAGATGGCAGTTAATCTGCAAGAAAAGATAGTCTGAGTTAAGTTTTGACCATGACAAGCTATAGGAAACACTCTTTCCTAGATGGTAGCTAATCTGCAAGAAAAGATAATCTGAGTTAAGTTTTGACCATGACAAGCTATAGGAAACACTCTTTCCTAGATGGTAGTTAATCTGCAAGAAAAGATAATCTGAGTTAAGTTTTGACCATGACAAGCTATAGGAAACACTCCTTCCTAGATGGTAGTTAACCTGCAGTTATCAGAACGAGAAAATAATGTTAATGTTGTAGTGTTGTGGCAACAACTTACCAAAATACATAAAGTTCATGGAGACAAAACCGGGACGATCATCTACCTCACCACATTTTGGAGCTGGGTAAACATATTCAGTGATGAACCTGACGACTCCGAGAATGGTACCAAACACCAAGCCTTTACGAAAGAAATACCATTTCAATTATTATTTAGTAAACGAGTAATATTTCCATCAATTTCAGCGCGAATAGGAGATAATACCAAATACCACTGAAGCATTTTAGTGGAGGCAAGTTTTAATAAGAAGTGTTGTTGACACAGTGGTCAGGGCATGTATCGTTCATCTCTGTGACTGAGGTTTCATTCCTGCAATATCCAGTTGTCTCATTATAATTTCACCTCAGTCACATGTGAGAAGAATGCTTCCAGTTTGACCCAACCAAAAACCTCCAAGTACTCCTGTTTCTTCTTGTAGTAACACAGGACCACTCTGGATCAATATAGAATGGTACTCACTGGACCTCGAGGCGGAAACGGAAAGAGCTACCCAGTGTAAATAAAGTTGGTGTAATCACTACCTCCTAATCCTCCCCAGCCATTAGCACGCGGCCACAGTATACCAATTGAGAAGACAGCCATAATAGGCGAACCCAACAACGCCTGGATAGTTTGAATATACTTGAACAGACGGCTGCCACTTCCGCCTAGAAAGATTTGAAAAGTCAGATATAATTAAACATTACTACACTAACACTACATATATATATCCTATCAAACAAAGGGTCACGGGTAGTTAGTATTCTACAGTAAGCTGCCATGGTTTGTGTCTGAACTAGTTGAAAAAGATATCTCAAACGTGGTGGTTCAGTGTAGGTAGTATAGACCCTTAGCACTGACGTCACAAATCCTTAGAGTGTCCTCCAGATGCTCCCTAACAATATATGTTCGGGTACAACAACCACATACAGCCCAAAAATGAACCATTTTAATACAAAATTATTATAAACTTTTGCAAAATTTGCTTTGTTTACAAAAGTTACATTGTGCATAGATTGCTAATGTGTCCTCCAGATGCATCGTCGCCGGCGCTGTGACGTCATGTGCAAAGGGTCTATTCTACAATTAACTGCCGTGGTTTGTGTGTGAACTACCTGAAAAAGAAGTTCATATTTACTTACTGTCAATAAAAGGCAGCCACACGACACCGAGGCCAACCAAGGAAACGACGACAAGTCGTCCAACTATAAGTTTCTCTCTTTCACCAGCCTGCAAAGCAATCAACATGGTGGCGTGCTTCAATCTCATGCTACAGCTGTCAAAACTGGATACATTTTAGATGCTGTTAGATAACGTGTGACTAAACATACCCTAGGTCGTATATACTGCCAGATATCAACAGTGAAGATCGTACTGCAGCTGTTATAAACTGAAGATAATGATGACATCACTGCCGCGATCATCACGGCCATCATGAGCCCAGTTAAACCAGAGGGAAGCAAGTTGAACACAAGTCTTGAAAAGAAAATATCAATTTTATCGTCCCTTCTTCCACGCCTCAGTGTTACTACAGGAAGAAAACTAAACTAAACTAACTTTATTTATACTGGATAGCTCTATCAGTTCTAAACTGTTCTCCCTAGAGGTCCAGTAAGGATCATCTCTTATTGATCCAGTGTTACTACAGGAGTAAACCTAAACTAAACTAACTTTATTTATACTGGATAGCTCTATCAGTTCTAAACTGTTCTTCCTAGAGGTCCAGTAAGGATCATCTCTTATTGATCTAGTGTTACTACAGGAGGAAAACTAAACTAAACTAACTTTATTTATACTGGATAGCTCTATCAGTTCTAAACTGTTCTTCCTAGAGGTCGATTAAGGATCATCCACAATACTTACTTGGGATACGCCTCGTTGCTACAGCCCAGTTCATTACCACAAGCCTTCTCGCAAGTCTTGGCATCAGAGCAACCGACACTGTCGGGATAAAGTATCCGGGAAATCATTCCAGGCATCACCATGATAAACATTGGAATGACTTTGAGAAATCCCGCCAAAATTGTCCCGCCTTTTGCATGAGCGAGCGATTTTGACGCCAAGGTTCGTTGAACGATAACCTGGGAGGAAGACAACACTGAACATGAACAAGCGAAGATGTAATAGTTTAAAGACGATAAGATTTAAAGACGACATGAGGTGAAGTAAGGCTGAGATGGTATGGACAGAGAAGAGATGAAGGAGAGCTGATCAGGGAAATGATGAAATGAAGAATTCAGACGATGTGATGTGGTAGACGTTGCAAAGAAGGTGAGGAAAGTAATGTTGAGATGGTATGGACACGTGAAAGAAAAAATGAAGGAGAGCTGGTCAAAGATATTGTTGAATGAGGGAGATGTGGGGTACACAAATCACGTGACAATCACATGACACACACGCGACAGTGACGTCATCTTACCTGATCAGTACACCAGTACCATATTCCAATGATGGGTAGGGATAACCAGAGACCCAGCCAGGGATAATCAGGATCATCTATGGGTCTAAACATGTTTGCCCAATATGGCGTGACGGTGTAGCAATTTGATGCGTTAATTGGTGCGTCAATTGAAACGTTAGTTGAAACGTTAGTTGGCAGGGTTAGATTATTGGAGTAATGACCAGCGACAAGTGGGAATTTGTCCCATAGAGCGTCAATACCACCGATTTCGTTGAAACCTTAAAGAAGAACATTTAACATCCATTCAATATAGCCGTGTTTTAGGTCGTTTTTGATTAAATTTCAACGATATTTCGGACGCACATTCATGTTATGCAAAAATATTCAGAAAGAACGGATACAGCTACCCAGTATAAATAAAGTTCAGCAAGGGGAGAGAATGATCTTACCCATAATAGTAAGAATTACGGCGCCAATCAACATGATACTACATTGTAATACGTCAGTGTAGGTCACCGCCTCTAAACCACCTGAAAATGAAATTAATCGACATGTTTAATCTCAATGACGCACTTCAGACGCAAACTATGATAGCTTACTGTAAAAGCTACATTGACATACCATGATAGCTTACTGTAAAAGCTACATTGACATTACACTCACCGAGTATGACATATAGAGCTGTAATGGCCAGTATAATGACAGCCGAGATGTAGATATTGGTGCCAGTCGCTTCTCTGAAGTAAAGACTTCCGGCATAAATATCAACCTAAAATCAATCAACGTTTATTTCCAAACTTTCTTTTGTTTTCTCACTCATTTTTTCTCGTCCATCTTACTGTTTTTCGTTTTTTCCTCACACAAACTTCAAAAATAATTGAACACATAAACTCGTGCTTGAACTTACAGAGATTTTTGTGAAGACATAGCTGACGAGAGCCACTACTGTCATAAACAGCTGAATAGCGGTGCTTTTATAACGGTTTTTTAAATACTCCGGCATGGTGAACACCTGCAATAAATATAAGGTTTGTCAGCAAGAACGTGTACCCCTGATACCTGTGAGCATTTCAAGAAATTGTGTCACTCACCCCGCCTTTAAGGTAGATGGGAACAAAAACATATCCCAGTAGAAGAAGAATCCAAGAAGCCTGAAATGTTCATAAACGAAACATTGAACAGAGTGTATTATGAGTAGCACCATCACTACCATCGTCATCATACTTTCATCACCACCACCACTATCATCATCATCATCACCATCATCATTATCATCACCACCATCATCATCACCACCATCATCACCAATTCACCATCATCACCTATTCACCATCATCACCATCATCACCATCATCACCATCATCACCATCATCACCATCATCATCACCACCTACCTGCCATTCATAAGCTACCACAGCTATACCAGTTGCAGCGCCATCACCAGCTATACCAACAAAATGGGTACCACCAATGTTACTGGCAAAAAGACTACCACCAACCATCCACCAAGTGAGGGTGCGACCAGCAAGAAAATATCCCTCAGCTGTCTCTTCTGTCCCTCGCTTACCTTTCCGGAACTTGGCCTGAAAAATAAATAGAATTGAGAAACGAAGTTTAATTGTCTTGTTTCAGGAAGTGTCAGCATTTCTGAAGTGGACATCAGCTGCCCTGGAACGCTGGCTCAAACGCAAGCTTAAAATGTCGAGTATCTTACCACAAGACCAATGCATATCGTGAAGACAAAGTAGAAAGCGATGACGAGCCAATCACCCCAATGAAATGTACTCGACATTTTCTCGTTTCCTGTCGTGAAATAACAATGAAATCAATATTAAGAAACATATTTGCGACAAACTATAGTATACTTCGGATGATAATTATCAAGAAACATTCACTATTCACTTGTTGTTTACTGGGACTATAAAACAAGACAGACCACAAGAGACCCAGATGTTGAAGACATCGTGAAATGATGATTAATTTTTGTATTTATCTTGGGTCGAAAATGATGAGTATTAAGGCTTTCGGTTACCTTTCTCAATTATCTATTTTTGGCTCTACCATCCAATTTGGTAAATGCAAGAGACAATTATAATTCAAGATGCGAACAAGTTAATTATGCGTTCGTAATATTTTAAGAGATTCCCACCTTTCAACATTCCTAACATGTTTTAATATTTCTAATCCAACCAACTCCATTATACTGGATATCAGTTTTACATTATCACCCATTGTTACAGGAGGAAATATTTATACTGGATAGCTCTATCAGTTCTAAACAGTTCTCCCTAGAGGTCCAGTAAGGATCATCTCTTATTGATCCAGTGTTACTACAGGAGGAAACCTAAACTAAACTAACTTTATTTTTCTTGGTAAAGTTCATTTATTGAACTCTATCGGCGAATACATGCGCGAAAGGTAATCCAAAAGTTAATCTAGAAGTCCAAAAATATGCAAGGTTTATCTGGGCAAGAGTAAAATGGGCAAGGTTATCAATAAATGTATTGGAATTGAACAGCGGGAATCCTAACTGAACTGTCCTGAACTCCAGTGAGAACGATAGAGCTATCCCCAATATTGAATTCCAGCTACGCATTAATTTTTAGTTAGCAGAGACACAGTTAACCACAACTATCACCACATATTGCCTCGTTCTCGAATGTCTACAAGATCTAGCGTTCCTTTTTACTTTTAATGACCTAGTACGCAATACTGTTACCACTGCGCAAGAATTATAGTATTTCTTGTTCACATTAAAGAAGAAAGGACAATATATATATATCAACTTAAAGCATGAACGCACACTCTTATATATATATATATATATATATACATATTTTTTTATTAATTTAGTTCTCATGTACAATATTTCCTAACAAAATAATTACGGCATATTTACAACTGATACTAGAGAGTAGAGACCTAGTAGAAACCTTCACATGCTTTAAAAGCTTGGGTCTCTATAGTATCAATTGTAAATACGCCATAATTATTTTGGCCTCTAGTCATTACACCTCTATTTTAAAGTCTAAAATCTAAAATTATAAAGTCTAAAATGCCTGTTTAACAAACCAAACATTTGGAATTCCGACGTGACATACATTTGAACGCGCAATGATTGTGATTATAACAACAAAAATATTTCTGCACTGTGTAATTCAGTGATCAGCGCCGGGAGGCCTGAAGTCGCATTTTCGCCCCCACTTCACTTTACTCTTTAGGTCTAAAATTGTGTATAAATTTTAGTTGGAAAATCCCATGTATACAAATATCCCATGCAATATCCTCCGAAAGCGGTCGCTATGATAATAATACTTTTATTAACAATCACGAGAACAATCATGTTTATAAAGCGTGTTCTTGGTACAATTATAAAAGGCAACAACTCTACCCTCGTTCAAAATACGCGGCTATCCTTATGATCGTATCTCTCGCTGAAAAACCCGAGGAATAACTACACCATAGTAACAAGGAAAGACAGTACAGGGAATATTTGAACATGAAAGCTTGCTCGTTGAGTACCAGGCAGTGAGTGTCAGTACCTGACCTAAGTTTTAAAACAGGTTTAAAAGGCGACATTTTGTTGCGCTTACCTTTTTTAATATTTCCGTATTTTGGAGAGTTTGAAAGGTTTTCGTCTTGGCCTTTACGTGTAACCACGGTCCAACAGAGATCAGCTACGTCAATAAAACTAATCCTACGAGAAAAGAATCATCATGTTTAGGTGACACACACGGATCAGGTTACATTCAGTCATGCTTGCGTAAATATTAACTTGGAGATGGTTTTCAAGTAAGCAATGGTGTTTGTTTAACTGAAGATGCAAACACGACTCCAAGTGGTTATACAACATAAAACACGCGTACGGTGCTGTATGTACGATTTACAACATGAGCGGCTGTGTTGTATTGGATATAGAAACTTGTATACAACACAGACACGAATGTTGTAATTTGGTGAGAAAATTGATTTCATTTTTTCTTCATGAAACATTTTGATTTATCATGTTTTCACACCGGTATGTTTGTATTTATTTGTTTTTATTTGTTTGTTTGTTTATTTGTTGTAAAAGTAATTGGAGTAGGCCACCTTAATATCAACACAGCTCATGCGGCCGGTATCCGTGGTCAGCGGTTAACCACTATGACAGGGGGGTGTGTCGCAATTTCGTAACCAGTTTCGATTTATCAATATTTGCAACATTCTATCATACTACAAATGTAACAAATTACGATTGAGTAAAAACAAAATTATTCACAACTACATTTTTTTGTCTATTGTATGGTGTATATTATGTGAATTTTTGCTTCAAAAATGGAGACATGTCCACATATCCGAGGTTTGGAAAGTGTCAAGAATGAGGCGATGTTGACGCCGCGTATGTGGTCGTGTGTAGATTGTGGAACGACTGAGTCGGTTTGGGTGAGCGGCAAATATTTTAAATTTTTTAAAAGTCTTGTAATCGTGAATGAATGCATGTTAGAAATGCGGTGGAATAGAATTGAAGATATTTTTGTATTTTGAGTGAGTTGACCTCATGACCCGGATACTTTGTTTATATATGTTTTTGTCATGACTGCCCACGTGTGTCAAAATATTACGCAATAATCTAGCTAAGGAAATCAGAGTACCAAGGATGGGGGGATGTTGGCAAACACAAGTACTGGAGGGCAGGGTTGGTAGATTAAATGATTAATTAGGCCAAATCGTCATTAGTGCTGTTTAGAAAACAAAAGGCCAAGACAAAGAAAACAAAGGCCTAGTGTGATGGTGTTTGACCTAATTATTCAGCAAACCTACCAACCCTGCTGGAGGGAAGTTCACCCCAGGGCTTGCTGTTTTACGGATTTGGTTACAGTATACCTTAAAACTCTGCCAAGACGTACCTGTGTGTCATAATAAGGAGAAGTTGAAATTATATAATCACACCAGGCATCCAAGTAGCTTATTAATATTTTCATTAAACCCACCATATTCTTAAGATACTATTACGTATGTTTGTTATCTAGGCATGTTTACAGTGCAGCAATATAGCATGTGGAAGGTAATATTTTAAAACAAATTCTTTGTAAATTTTCTTCTTAACTCTTAAGTGGCAATGTGCCCTGATGTGCCCCACTTTGTCATTTTACTCTGTTGATTTGTAACACTGGGACATTCAATGGGACATTCAATGGGTTAATCTATCAGTCATTCAACCTAATCATTTCATTAGCCAATCAAACACCAAAGCATTCAATTAAATTGTCAACCTTTTTCTAACCATGATATATTTCCTAACAGTAATTTTAAAATTGCAGGTTTATTGATGAACATGCTGTCAAGCATTTTACTGACAAAGGAGTGAGTTTCACTTTGATACAGCTCATCATTTTTGTTAATGAATTTCATCATATAATTATTTTTCTTGTCTTATCCTTACAGCATCCATTGGCCTTGGAAGTTAATAAAAAATACTTATATTGGTATGATGCATAAAAAATTAGGATGTTGAATCCTGTAGTTTGTACCTTAATCTTAAAATGATGGAAAACACTCATCCTGATGTATAGTAACACAGCTTAATGTAATACGTTACTTGCATCTGTTTCAGCTACCAATGTGATAGCTATGTATTCAATGACAATTGTCATGGTGACATAGCGTTATTACGAGAGACTTTAACAGAGATAGAGACACAAGTTTTTAATGAAAGTTTGACAAGAAGTGGTTGTGTTATCAGAGGACCAAGTACGCCAGGGATACATGAGGACACTAAGTGAGTTATAATTCTTATATAACTTTCCATATAGTAATATTTTCAAATTACGTCACTGACAGGGGTTTGTAGTTGAGTTAGGAATTAGTCTATAGTTAAGTAGAGGATTAAAACTAGCCAAAGGAAAGAAATCAAAGTATTTAATTGTGGTTATTAATATATAGCTTGATGTATAGCTTTGTATGTTGCAGAAGTGAAAAAGAGCATGCCAAGATGGAAGATAAACAATACACTGCTGTTTGTCATTGGAGGTAATTTTTTAACACTCGGATATGAGGATCCAGAAAGCACAACACACCAGTCAACACCAACACCAACACCAACAGACAAATACATTTGATGTTAACCATCATGAGCATAACACCATATAAAACACTTAATATTCAAACCCACTAAATTACCTTCATCTGGTTGATGTAGCTTAAAACTCAATGCAGGCAAGTCATGTTTTGTTGCATTGATGACATTTATTTATTCCTGGTCATAGTACACTTCGGATTTTCTTCCAATTATGAAGTATCAAATTCAAGACTATATCAATAAAATATGATAACCCTTTAAGTAGCAATGTGCCCTGATGAGCCCTATTATTTTACTCTGTCTATTAATTTATGCCAGACAATTTTACTCGTCAATGGGGAGAGTGCTGCCACTCATTGGGTAAATTTGTTATGAGTAAAACTACCTGGCATTAGACAGAGTGACATAATTAAGTTGGGTGCATCAGTCAAGGGTGCATTGCCACCTAAAGGGTAAAAGTTATGTGTCTGTTTCCTTTTGCAGACTTAGTTTGTTATCAAAAGTGTTTAGTTCACTTCAAGAAAATGTTAAACTCAGTAAAGAAGAAAAGTTGACAGTCCAGGTTCATATATTTCATGCTTGTTCTCTGTTTATTCATATTAAAGAGTTTTTGTTGAGTATTTCTAGTAGCTTGGCACATCATGTCATTTCTTATTTTATGTAATTTAGTCAGAAGAAAAACAAAATGAAGAGGTCTCTGAGAAAGGTAATGTTCCAAGATGATCCTGACTAATTTCAACTGTTAGTTTTACAAGTTATGCTAACACAACTGTCAGCAGTTTTTGTAGAATATTTTTGTGTGTTGGCAGAACCTCCCAAGAAAAGACGCAAGGTGATAATACCTGGCGTGACTGGGTTACGTAATCTTGGTAATACATGTTACATGAATGCAGTCTTACAGGTTTTAAGGTGAGAAGATAATGAAGCATATTTACACCACAGACCACGCACGTGAATTCGACATTCGACTCTCTAATAGAGAGGTTAAGATACCCAGGTTTCGGTGTACGTGTACGGGAAGCATGATTTTGGTTAGCAATATTTTCGTCGATGTCTGTACCTTTACTCGTAATTAAGGTGCACATTTTTCGCATTATATCATTGTCTATTGCAAGAAAACAGAAAAAGTATGATGGAATTACAGACATCAGTAAAACAAGATGACACTACTCGTACCCGTACACCGAAACCGGGGTATCTTAACCTCTCTAATAATGTTTCTTTCCCTATTGCATATCCAGCCACCAAAAACGCAAATCTTTGAAACGCAAATCTTTGAAGCGCAAACCTTTGAAACGCAAATCTTTGAAACGCAAATCTTTGAAACGCAAATCTTTTCTGCCTACTGTCGTTCTTGTGTCGCTCCAGCGTCGCATCTAATACAATTAAGTTTGACCAGGGCGCTGGTTTGGCACATGAAAAGTACACCGTCTGAAACGAGGCTTAATTGCTGTGATTAATGATAGTCACTCTCAATTCTACTTATTTCCCTCCAAATACAAGACTACTGCATGATAACTACAGGTTGACGACCATCTGATGCACGATAATGAAAATCTTCTTACTTTTCACTTTCAGTCACTTGCAGTTCTTCCGTCATTGCTTTCTCCTGCTACACGTGATGAAGTCACCTGACCCCGCGCCATGTTTGACATCCACTCCCAAGAACTGTCGTTCACTCAGCGCCATCTACACAAGACAGACGACAGTCGAGTGTTATGAGGTCGTATTTTCATCAGTCTTACTCTAGATAGGAAGAACAGTTTTATCCAGTATAAATAAAGTTAGTTTAGGTTTCCTCCTGTAGTAACACTGGATCGATAAGAGATGATCCTTACTGGACCTCTAGGAAGAACAGTTTAGAACTGATAGAGCTATCCAGTATAAATAAAGTTAGTTTAGTTTAGGTTTCCTCCTGTAGTAACACTGGATCGATAAGAGATGATCCTTACTGGACCTCTAGGAAGAACAGTTTAGAACTGATAGAGCTATCCAGTATAAATAAAGTTAGTTTAGTTTAGGTTTCCTCCTGTAGTAACACTGATCAATAAGAGATGATCCTTACTGGACCTCTAGGAAGAACAGTTTAGAACTGATAGAGCTATTCAGCATAAATAAAGTTAGTTTAGTTTAGGTTTCCTCCTGTAGTAACACTGGATCGATAAGAGATGATCCTTACTGGACCTCTAAGAACAGTTTAGAACTGATAGAACCATCCAATATTTTAAAATTCCCTTTTGTTTTGATTTCAGCATGTGTCAATGCCGTTGCGTAAAGAGCAATCTTGGCCAACGAACAAGAGAAAACACGCAAACTCTTTACTGGAGGAAAAAGATGGATTAGTTGCAGCAAAAATCGATGACAATTCAAACGAAGTAGCCAACGACAGTTCAATGAATGAGTCGAATGAGAGTGAACAAAATAAGAAAGTGTAAGATATTTGAAAATAAAAGTTCTTTCTTATAATGTCTAAATGATCTCAGAATGAAATGAAAAATTAATTTCTAAATGAATTTTGAACCGGGAATCAAACTTAAGGTCTATAATTTAACAAACCAACGTTTTGGTAAGTTAGCTATCGAGATACCACACATTCAGAATTAATAAATATGCTGCCGGCACAATGAACAGTAGTTTTAAGGAAACATGATTTTCGTTTCGTTTTAGATTGTTCAGTGATGAACTGCACGCGTTATTTCGAGTCATGTGGTCTGGTAAATGGGTAGGTTGCATCATGGATTGTAAAATAATAATATAATAAAAATGGATTGTATTTTATTATCCATGGTTACATTAAGAAGTAGGTTACATTAAAATACTTCAACTTTTTGACTATGTATACCACATATAGTTTACCAACCATCCTCAGAGGGATGAAAAACTAGTTTCAGGAAAAATTCCTTGTCTCGAGCGAGATTCGCAGCTTTGGGTACCTCGGCCGCCGTTCTGTCCATTGAGCTATCGAGTCAACGGGGACTGGTAGCGAGTCTTATGAAACTCGCTTTCATCCCCGGTATTTGGCGACTATATTCCATTCTAATGTTGTTTCAGGCAATCGTCACACCGCTAGCTGTACTTCATGCTGTGTGGAAGTTAATTCCTTCATTTCTCGGGTATTCACAACACGATGCTCAGGAATTTCTCTGGTAAGCTTTAAACAGAGGAACTCGGGGATTACTTTATGTCAATAGAGTAAGAAGGTTAGCAAACTCGGTGCAAACACAATAGACCTCATTATCTACGTTTTGGTTTATACAATCAATAGCTATGTGTCACCATTGTGTAATATCACGACTGGTAATTAAACCAACACACTGCGATTGGTAGGTTGGACGAATGAATCGACCATTTCTTGAGATGATTTTCAACTGATGTTACGCATTTGATCAATTTCTAAAGTCGATTCTTTTTGGATATATTTTATTAGTTTGGTTAGAGTAGGGGTAGGGTAGGGTTTGTTACATAGCCATTTAACACCTCTTCCATCTTCCGAAAATGACGTCAGGTCAGTTTGCTGGATGGAAACAAGTGCTAACGAAACAGCATCGACCAGCGTCTATAAAATATTTTCTGTTTTTTTTCCAAGTGAGGTACTGGAGCGACTACAATCCGAGCTCGAAGGAGATTGTCCAATCAACTTCCAGAGCCCTATAGCTGATGACGTCATACATCCTAAAGATATTCTACCCAATGTCTTTGAGGGAAAACTTGTTAGTGAGGTATACCTACTGATCTCAATACTACACTGAATGCGACCTACTGTTCACTGACCTCGTTAATAGACTGGATAGAACGAGCTATCCTTGTCTAATAATATTTTCTTTATTTGCAGGTATTGTGTCATAACTGTCATAATGTGTCCAAATGTCGTGAACAATTTTGGGATTTATCCTTAGAATTTCCTGATAGGTATGTTGTTTGATATGTAAATGAATGTGAATATGTCCGCTAATTTATGACGTCATGTTGGTTGCAAGCTCTTTAAAATGGTTGAATATCTCTGCTATCATCCAAGATGATAACTTCAAACTTCCATCACTGGTAAATGTGAAGAAACACTGTAGAAAAACGTGAACTGATATCTACAGTTTTTAGAGTTAATAGATTTATAACCAGTGTAAGTTGAGCTTGCAACCAACATGACGTCATAAATTAGCGGACATATTCACACTCATTTACATATCAAACAAACTGAAATATCTCGGGAACAAACCATAAAAACAAGAAACTGAAAAATAAGTTACACTACAACTTAAAGAGTTCTTTCATTTAAGAAAATAAGAAATTTCATGTCATATGCACTTTAAGTTCCACAGTAAAACGTTTGAAACTTCATCAGGTATCAAGTGCAGCCGAGATCATCCCGAGGGCGTGTTCCTGCTAGAAGACCTTCCATGGAATCTTGTCACATAACAGGTGAAGAAATGTCTCCGTGTTTCATTGACCAATCAGATTGCTCAAAAATAAAATATAAAATTTGATTGGTCAATGAAACAGGAAGTTAGGAACTTTTTAAGGAACTTATGAAATTGTTGAGGAATTGTTCAGAGGTGTTCCTTCAAGTTAGGAAATGACCTGGTCAACATTTTTCGAAACGCTTCTATTGGCACGACTGTAAGCCTGGTTTACACTATCAAAGTTTCTGTCATCACAGTAGGAATTTTGCAATGGCAAGTTTCGAAGGATTTGTACTTTATTTTGTTTTGTTTTCAGTTTCATAGTTGGTCATTTCTCATAATTTAGTCCTTCCCAATAGCCGGCTTGTCATGGAGTTTTATCAGCCCAACTATCGTCATCAGTATTAACTTGTATATCTGCCTTTCATACTTCAGAATTATTAGCAAAGTTTACTCAGCAAGAAATGTTAGAAGGAAGAACATATAGGTGTGAAAAATGTTCTGGTAAGTTCAACACTATTATCTCATTCCTGGATTATCTCATCCCTGGATTATTTCATATTTACAAATTATTCTTGTTTTTCATGTGAAGCATCTTCGCCCGACTCGCTGCAGTTTGCTCAGAAACAACTTCAAATAGCTGAACTGCCAGAGGTATGAGATTTTACGGAGAAAAAAATATACACGAATAAAAAATAAGTGATATCCTGAGTTTGTATTTCTTTCTTTTCTAGATCCTTAGGTTGCATTTAAAAAGATTTCGGTAAATATAATGATTTATTTAAGCAAATATTCAACTGCAGCTATAATCTTTGTGTTAATTTACTTTATGTTTCTAAAATCTCACTACGTTCGCCAGAAAGTTGACGACTTTTGTCACATCAATGTCTTGTATTTTATGCTTAACAAATAAATAAGATTTTGCGGCTGTCTGTTAAGTTATAGATACACATTATGACGTCATAATGTTATTTATAACTGAACAGACAGCGGCAAAATCTTATCTATTTGTTTTATATAATAAAAAGAAAACCCCCAAATTAAACAGGTAAATAGCTTACTTTTTATCCACCCAAGCATTTGGAAATTTGAAAAAGTCTAAATTTTACAAAAATCACGCGTATATGATCTATACAAATAAGAGAATGCTATTGGATAAGGTTTTGTGTGACGTAATTCCGTGCATGGCTCTCGACCAATGAAAGCAATTGAATTCTTAACGTTATTATATAATAAATAATAGAGTGATATAGTTTGAATTGCTTGCTCCTGTGGCTGTCAACATTTCTGAAGCGACCGTATTAACGCTGTCAGCCAGAAATTCCTGCATGAATAAATATGACTGCCTTAATGTTTTACTGCTTCACACTGCAACAAGATGTTGTTTTCTAGTTGGTATTGTCAGACTCGAGGCAAGATAGTTTCTCATGTTCAGTTTGACGTGGAGCTGGATATGAAACCGTATTGTCATCCACTACATTTTGAATCTTATACTGACCAAGATTTTCTTTATAAACTGTCTGGAGTCATCATTCATATGGGGACTGGGTAGGTTAACTACGAATAGACCTAGTCATATATCCTATTCTATCATACTTTATCCATAAATATCATTAGATATATCCTTTCACATGCCTAGAGGTTTCCTTATATGTACTATCATTTATATGGGAATTCGGTGGGGAATTCCCATGTTATCATACTGTAGCTCTAAACATCCCTAGAAATACTACTATAAAGATGGAGACAGGATAGGTGAAATGTGGATATAGCTAGTAATCTACCATATTTAATTTTTGCGAGCGGGGTGGTTGCGAGTATTGGTCTCCTGTTCGACTCGCGGTGCTCGGTGAGCGGCTTGTGGTTCGCTTGTTAATGGATTGAAGCTTCTCTTGAACCTTTTAGACGTATGTTTGTTTCTTTCTTAGATTTGATGCTGGACATTACGTGGCGTATTGTTGGAATGAACAAGCTGGTTAGTTTCAAACTATTGATGTCATTAAATATCTCCTTTATCGTACAGACGCAATGAGACTCAGGATTACCCGGAGAACACCTGCATTTGAGGGCGAGACAAAGTTTGTTTTGTCAATGTTCGATAACTTTGTAATATTGGCTGGAATGGTCTCAAGAGTTTTGTCCAAAATTGTAGCCATGGCAACTGGTCATACTGTGCTAAGGGACGGACCATTAGAAAAGTGATGGGGGGAGGGGGGATTTTCTAAGAGGCAATATATATATTTTTTTGTACACCTATAGAAGAAGTTTGTTTTTTTCTCACTTGATGGCTGAAAATATTTTTTTTTATCTTCCGAGCTAGGAATTTTTTTTTGCACTATGCCTGGGAAGATTTTCTTTTTCCTAATTTTTTTCTGGGAATAATTTTTTTTTGGTTTTGGCCCACTATCACTTTTCTAATGGTCCGTCCCTAATAAACCTGCATCTAGAATACGTTTTTGAAGGTTTGAAGAATGCCGACCATTAAAAACTTGCATAACATGACCTGTTGCTATGACTTCGCCACTGAGTCAGACAACTACATTTTATGAACTGTGGTAACTGAGGTGAAACGACAATATATCTTTCATTTTTCCAGGTAGCTGGGTATTTTATAACGACGCTAGAGTATCACTATGTTCAGAGCAAGAAGTCTTGAAATCTCAAGCCTACATCCTCCTGTACACCAGATGTAATGGAAGAACTGCTCAATACAACCTCTATGAGAACTTGGTTCTACCCAATAGCCCTTAGATTCACTCTTAAACATTGTTGTAGTTTTGGAATTATTTTTGATATTCGATACATTTTTCACATTCAAGATGGAAATCTTTGTTAAGAACAAAGCTTAAAGCAGATATTGTGTTATTTTTTATTGCTATACATCTTGGACTTGGAAAATGCGACTTAGAATAATAGAATAATTTATTTTATTAATGTCGAATGACGGTGTAGTTGTCCAATCACTCGAGCCAGGGGCTCGTGGTAACCGCAACAGAACTTGAAAAATTGCCATTTTAAATCAAGAGTTACCATCAAGAATTCTTGGAACTATGCACCCTCAACATTCTACAGTCTCAAAATTCAAGTGTGCAAGTGACAGCTACGATTCATGCATCTGTCATGTGTGGATTATATTGAAATATTTCATCTAACATGTCCCGTCTTGTATCGAAACTAAATACATGTGATCGTCATCTCGTGTTTATAATAACATTCAAATATGTTTTTAAACGTTAAACAAATACGGGGATAAAATTCTATGCATAAATATATAAACAAGCGCGGTATCAAACATTGTTTATGTATATGTATGTTTAGTTCAACACTAATAGAAGTACTGGTAATGAATCTATGTACGTGCAGCTTCGGTTTGATAGAAAACTCGCGGGATTTCATGCACGCGCGTTATTCTGCGTGCTATTTCAAAACGGCACCTCGTTCAAAGTAAATCTAGTTTTAAATAGTGTAGCAACTAATAATAAAATAAATAAGAGCCATACATACATTAAATTAAGCGTGATATTAAGCGCGCGATATTCAATGAAGTAAGCAGCGTGCAGTTCATCACTGAAGTGAATAAAATAGCGCGCCATATTTATTAAATAGCACGCGATATTAAGTAGCGCGCCATATTTATTAAATAGCACGCGATATTAAGTAGCGCGCCATATTTATTAAATAGCACGCGATATTAAGTAGCGCGCCATATTAAATAGCGCGCGATATTAAGTAGCGCGCCATATTAAATAGCGCGCGATATTACTGAGCACACACAAATTTCGTTTTCATTTTAATCATCCTCTTGCTTCATTCTGCAATAAGCTCTCAAGCTTTATGTTGCATAAGAATGATACAACTTGCACTAATGGCGTGCAAATGCCATTTCTGCCCATATTGTCTGAAAACGCACATAGCTACAGTTGTAATGTTTCTGCAGTGCATTTAGCACGGAGACGTCTTCGTAACTATAGATAGCTCATTGCTTTAGTAGATCTCTTTAAATTATTTGTTTATACTTTGCAATAAGCTTTGACTCAGCTCTTCCGAGAGCCTACTTAACAACGGCTTGTTTTATAAGAGCGCACCCGTAAGAAAATGTATACACGAGCTATATTTAGTTTGACCCCCAGATATTTTAATGATATCTTAATCTGCTAATTATACCACGACAATGCTTATCTACCACTTGATATCAACACTTCATGTATCAAGTTCTTAACACTTGCAGGCATGTTGCAACGCGTTTCTTTGTTTCGATATTGTTCTCATAACTCGTAGAGGACTCGAAATTTAAACTACAAGTTACTATCGCAACGGAGAAATGCCGTATGGCATTTAAAAGTTGTAATCCCCTAATTGCAAACAAATATCAAACCTAAGATAATAAAGTGGTTTAACATTTGACTTATTCAAATTGCTAAAGGCACACTACATGTTTGGTTTTTAGTGTCAAAATATTCAGATTGCAAAATTAATAATAATCACTATTCATAGCAACCTTGACATTTCTCAGTGACTTCAGACTGTGTATGTATGTATGTATGTATACATTCACTTATATATATGTGATGTTCATCCCAAAATTAACTTAATGCCAATATAGTATATGTAAGGAATGGTATATTTTTTATCCATAATCTCGAGACGGTGCCAATGTGGGTAGCGACAATAACAAGGTATGCATGGTTGACAGTTTGCCAGGTGTGGTGTGGGTAGGTGTGGGTAGCGACAATAATAAGGTGGATTGACAGGCGTTGCCAGGTGTGGTGTGGGTCGCTACACTAACAAAGTATGGATTGACAGTTTGCCAAGGGCAAGGCTCAACTCAATGATTGCATGCACTTAGTATAACTAAATAGAACTAAATATAGTAAAGTAAACGAGGAGTTTGGATAGAAATGCAAAGAACTAACATCCGACTTTGTTTCATAAACTTTACCTTGCAAAGTAAACATTTCCTCTTGTCACACGTAAGCGCTCCATGTTTGCAAATTGTTGCAACAATCTTTTTGTGTTTGTCTGCAAGGAAATCAAATATTGAACGGTTATTGAGAGCTGCTTGTTTGCTTAATCAGTGTTAGTTCAACTCTTCATCTATCCAGCGTTACTGGTGCGTTTCACTAAGAGCTACAGGACAGCAGATCATGATCAACCTTCAGAAATGTTGCCTTTCCCCTTATAACTAAAATTTTGATCTAGACAAATCTGGACAAAAATTTCATCACAGCTTGACAGGGCATCACAAAATTAGTAATATTCCAAAGTTTCGTTGCGAAATGTTGTAAAATGCGGATAATATAGCCTTGCGAAATTTTCAGTCATTTTGTATTACAAACGGGAAATTGACGCCCCAACACCCGATTGGGCTGTCAATTTCCCGTGCGTAATACAAAATTGCTGAAAAACGGCAAACATTGCAAGGCTGTATTTTCCGCATTTTACAACATTTCGCAACGAAACTTTGGAATATTACTAATTTTGTGATGCTCTTTCAAACTGTGATGAAATTTTTGTCTAGATCAAAATTTTAGTAATAAGGGGAAAGGTCCATTAACATCATTTTCTTATTCTGCAGGTTGAACACCATCTGCTGCACAGCCCCACCGCGTGGGGTCCCCAGGGTCAGAGTTGGAGGGTGACCCACGACAAATCCAATTACACAATAAGCGGGATTAAATTGGTAAAAGTTGCAATTGAGATTAATCAGAACTCGAAACTGAAAGTAACTTGATTCAAACCACTTGTGAATCCCAGCATGCCTCTGGTCTGATGAACAGGCCCGTACAGATATGTCATGTAGTAAACAGGACGAACAGCTTTGAGAAATGGGAAGTAAGTATTCTACAATAAGCTGTCGTGGTTTGTGTCTGAACTACCTGAAAAAAGATATCTCAAACGTGGTGGTCCAGTGTAGGCAGTATTCTACATAAGCTGTCGTGGTTTGTGTCTGAACTACCTGAAAAAGATATCTCAAACGAAACATGGTGGTTCAGTGTAGGTATATCGTTTTCAGGAAGTGCAGAACCAAAATATGGACGGTATATAGCTTTCCTGTGAAAAATCCAGAGCGGCAAACACATTCCACCTAAGGCTGAGTCATTGAAAGACTTCACCCACAATACCGTACCACTAAAGCCACCTTAAACTGTTTTCAATGTTTATAAACTTAAAGTAAACTATCAACAATTGTTTCCGTTTAACTAATGAACACTAATTATTGTTCCGGGCTACCTTGGACTCAATTGTGAAAGTTTATTCAAGGGCTACATGTAAACATTTTCGAGGAAAACATCTGGCCTTTTCAGAAATATCTGGCATTATTGAATAACTGTTATCAATTACGGCTCCTTACACGCGCTGTTACCGTGCAAACGTGACCAGACGTGTTCGTGTAAAGAGTACCAGGTGTTGAAATCTTCATTTTTCTGAGTGCGTAGGTGTTAGTCATGAGATGTCTCGACTCGAGGTTTATATTACAAACTCGAGATTTCCATCTACAAAACTGTCTTTGCCAGTGTAGATCAATCAAGTCAACAAGCTTTCCTTGGTAGAGATGCAACTACCTGAAAATATATAAGGAGAAATTCTTCTTGCATTCCTACCAACGAAATCTTCTCCTTCTACACTTGAACCCATCTAGAATATTTAGAGTTCTACCCACAGTGAGATGCCAAAAACCTGGTATTTACTCATACACCTTACATTGGGATCGGCTTAGTATTTATATATGAACTTGTGGTTAGAGCTGGACAACTGTCTCTCTGTAGCTCAGTTGGTTAGAGCTCGACAACGGTCTCTCTGTAGCTCAGTTGGTTAGAGCTGGACAACTGTCTCTCTGTAGCTCAGTTGGTTAGAGCTCGACAACTGTCTCTCTGTAGCTCAGTTGGTTAGAGCTCGACAACTGTCTCTCTGTTGCTCAGTTGGTTAGAGCTCGACAACTGTCTCTCTGTAGCTCAGTTGGTTAGAGCTCGACAACTGTCTCTCTGTAGCTCAGTTGGTTACAGTTCGACAACGGTCTCTCTGTAGCTCAGTTGGTTACAGCTTGACAACTGTCTCTCTGTAGCTCAGTTGGTTAGAACTCAACAACTGTCTCTCTGTAGCTCAGTTGGTTAGAACTCAACAACTGTCTCTCTGTAGCTCAGTTGGTTACAGCTTGACAACTGTCTCTCTGTAGCTCAGTTGGTTAGAACTCAACAACTGTCTCTCTGTAGCTCA